TCAGCAGGACGCCGATAAAGCATCAGGTTAGTTCCAGCCCACGTTTATTCCCATGCATGGATAGGAGCATGTGTCCCACTTGCCGAGCATTTTGCACAGGGATCTGCGAGAGGTTTAAGCAGCAGCCACCTCTCCGGAACAGCCTTCCCCAGCATCACGGTCCTGCTGGAGGCTGAGCCTTGCAGCACGTGGAGTTGTTGCTTTTGAAGCCTCCTTTGGGTTGTAACGCTCCTGCTCACGTATTTTGATGGCAGCACACCTCAGCCTCACCGTTCCTCATACGGCAGCTCACAAGCTTCGTAACACAGTATTTGCTTGGACACGAGCACGGGGAGTCCACAAACAGATGCTAAAGAATAAACGTGGCCGGTCAGCCTGTGTCCCAACCCCTCCAGCCAATCAATATGTCCATTAAGCTTTAACTTCCAGGCAAATCCCTCAAACTGAAACAGTTTGAGTTTTATTATTGCTGGTTTTGATTTCTCCCGTTACTTGGGGGGGTTTACACCAGTAGGGGTTAATCCAGCAGCATCTTCCAGACTTCCCAGGCCCAGCTCCACAAAGACCCCGCTTGTCCCTGCTGCTGAAACGGGGCAGAGCCTCTCCCAGAGGAATAACGTGGTGATCTCGCCCCAAGTGCTTTCGTCTTGCGTTGTGGCATAATTAGATGCAACACTGTTATGGTTTAGGGTTTAAATATGGATGGTTGAGGTTCACATGAGAATTTGCTCTGTGCTTTTCTCCTCTGCTCCTCTTTGACTCGACCTAGACCCAGACCGACGCTGCGAGAACAGACCTGGCTTTGTCTGCAGGTTGGTTGGGTTTACGGAGGGCTTGGAAACGTCATGCAGCTTTATCCTTAATTTCTACTTCTCTCCAATGGTGCTGGCTGACGTTAGCAAAGATTTGAGGAACTACTACGAGAGGGCAAGGAGAGATCTCTGCTCTCCAGCATTTCCAGGGCAAGTGCTGCAAGGGCGTCGCTCTGGGTTTGCACCCATGATCTGAGAGTGACCCAGTGTCATAAGTGACTGATTTGGATCTGGAGCAACCTCAAGGGTATAGATCCATGGAGAGTGATGAAAACCAACATATTGCCACCCACCCACTGTTTCAGACAACTGCCTCCCTGCATGCTCATAGCCTGTCCCGTGCAGCTCGAGCTACAGCTTTAAAGCAGACTTGGAGTATGCTGGGAATGAAGGTGGCCTCCTTGCGGGCTCGTGAACACAGGTGGGCAGGAGGCCAAAACTACCCCAGGCCGAGTGGGAAGGGATCAAGCAGAGCCCTCAGCTCTGCAGCTGACTCAGACGGCAATTACAAAATGCCTGCGTTGCAAAACACATTTGCAGGGTAGATGGGCCTTTAAATATCCAAAGTGAAACAACAGAAAAATAAATTCAGCCCTTTTTCTCCGTCGCACAGGGGCAGCAGGACTGAAGAAGTGCTTTTCCAGGGCACGAGGCTTAGCAGG